AAACGACAGCAACTTGTCTGTTCCCCTTCCCCAATTCCCCAGCGCTATTCCCATCCCCCCAATTCCCCAATAAAAATCTTAAAAAAAAAAAATTTTGATAAATAGATAAATAAAAGTTGATTATATCCATAATGTGGAATACTACTTGGCAATAAAAAGAATGAAGTACTGATACATGTTACATTATATAGGAACATTAAAACCATTATGTTGAATGAAAGAAGCCAGTCATGAGAGACCACATATTGTACAATTCCATGTATATGAAATGTCCAGAATAGGCAAGTCTATATAGAGACAGAAAGTAAGTTTGTGGTTGCCTAGGCCTGGGAGGATTGTGGGTATAATAGGAGGGGTGTGACTGTTAAAGGTTTATTTTGGGATGATGAAAGTGTTCTAGGGTTGACTGTAGTGATGGTTGCACAACTCTGTGAATATACTAAAACCATTGAATTTTATACTTTAAATGGATGACTCTTACGATACGTGAATGCGGTCTCAATAAAACTGTTACCAAAAAGATATATAGCTACATGTGACTTGTGGCATCTAAAAAGACCTTAAGCAAGTAGAATTTGCCCTTGGGCTCAGTTATCTTATATAATTAGGATAAAGTAATTTGCAGTGAAGGGCTATCATGAACAATTTGTCTTTCCTTACAGATTAAATTAAATACCATGTTTTGTTAATTAGATGCATATGTTTCATATTTAACATCTCTGAAGTTGATATTTTGTATTTTCTCTTGATTGCTTAATGGGATATAAATACATGCTATATTACGTAGTTGAGAGCATCTTGGGTTTGATGAAATATGGTAATCTCTTTTATAGATTACTATAATAGACAATCGTGAGGAATGAGTAATACCAAGTATATTGTACTTCATGAAGAGGTATTTAAATTATGCAAAATACTGAAGTTAGTCCCCAACTTTACACTTGGTTTTAAAATGTCCATGAATATGATTACTAATGAAATATTTATTCCTCATTTAGATAGGGAAGAATAAGAAATGTTAAATAGACCTTTCAGGTATTTTTCCTCCTCCTTTTCATGTGTCTCTCAACTGTAGATATTGAAGGGTGGGAGGTTCCAATGTTGTATCAGTAGAGCCCAGTTGGGCAGTCAGGACTGAGGCAGGGAACTGAGGTATCTGTATTGGAGGGCAAAGTCGGAGGATGACGTAAGCAGCATATGGTTTACTAATAAGAAGGTAGGCCTAGCATGAAGGTCTGCTTGTTGACTTTAGTGTTTCTATAAGGGAGAAAAAGAGTTGTAAGCAGCAATCTTAAGAAGGAAATTACCCTATTCCTTTTGGTTGAATGGCATGCATAGTAGGTCCTAATAATAATTAACAAATGTATTAATTTTCTAGGACGTGGTATTTATTCCAACATGCTGGGATTCCTTGGTGGTGTCTCCTGGGCAATGCTAGTTGCAAGAACTTGCCAATTATATCCAAATGCAGCAGCATCTACTTTAGTTCATAAGTTCTTTTTAGTTTTTTCCAAGTGGTAAGTATTCATATGCATACTTTAACTATTTACTAACCTCTGCCTATATGTAAATTTGTTTGGAAATTTAAGAGCTATGCCTGGACTTTGTATGTTGTCTTATATTCCTTTTCTAAGTTAAAAGTTTAAAAACATCAAATTTGAGGCAATGATGGGACACCAGATGGCACTTTTTTCTCGGGGGTCTGTAAATGTGTGCCTTTAACTTGAGAGAGTGGTCACAGTAGATTTTGTTCTGCCACTGTAGATGTTGTTTAAGATCTTCTCATATGTAACATAGAGGTGATAATCATAGCTACTGCATGGATTTGTTAGGAGTATTTTCAGTAAGTAGTAGCTGTTGCTGTTATTAAATTTCCTCTTAAATCCATGAAAGCAAATGAGAAGGGAAAAATTCAGATTTAAATTAGTTACAGCTAATGGGCAAAGCAGTATTTGCCCTTTCATAGAACACTGCTTTAAAATAAGCAGCTGTTTCCTTTGTATACTTCCTTCCCTTTCCCATTTTTTTTCAATATCAAATAACAACATTTGCTGTATGAAAGTTAAAACAAAGTCTTATGATTTTAACATTTCCTATAGTTCCTGAAGTGAGGTCCTATGTGAGTTAATTTGTCTTATTCATGTTAGGGAATGGCCAAATCCTGTGCTGCTGAAACAACCAGAGGAAAGCAATTTGAATTTGCCTGTTTGGGATCCTCGGGTATGTGACTTATTGTAGAATTTCATTAAACCGTTTATGAAAAGGACTATTCTGTAAATTACAGTCTAGTTAAATTCCTCTTGTGCCTATTCATCTTCCTCCTGTGTAACTCAAGTCCTTTCCTCTGCTATTTTTTTTGGTGCTGTTGATGTGCATCTCCAGTGATGATCCAAATGTTATGTCATTTAAAATCACCCATATAAGACTAGATGAGTCGGTGTATCAACCAAAATGTCATAATCCCTTGTTAAAAACTATCTTACAAGTAATTAGTTACTAATAATAAAGCATTGAAGTATATAAAAGATATGCTTTGCAGTGCAATTTAAAGCAAATTCATGGTTCCAAGATAGCATAACTGACCTTGCATTTTAATTTGCTTTTAGAGTGAGTGCTCGTTTCTCAGAGTAACCTAGGGGACATCATCCACTGAGTAGGTGCAAAAAAAGGATTGAGAACCATTGGACCACATAATGCTTTTTGCAGCTATGATACTATATTTCCTTGGTTCTAAAAGACCATTGTTTATAAGATGTACCATAGATTTAATAGCTTTTCAGGGGAAAAATAAACTTCTGCAGCGTTTCCTTTGATGATCAGTCACATCTGACTTCAGAAATAAATGTAGTTGGGGAGGGGAAATGTACTTCTTAGAATTGAGGAAATGTAGTATTAAATTTATATTTCATATTCTTCAGACTTTTGGGGAAATGAAGTGAGGACAACTGAAATAGGAGAGTAGATCTATTATTCTGCTTCTAATTTCACAGGTAAATCCATCAGATAGGTATCATCTCATGCCCATAATCACCCCTGCCTACCCACAACAGAATTCTACGTATAATGTGTCCACATCAACTCGAACAGTAATGGTAGAAGAATTTAAACAAGGTAAACCTGTTGGCCCTATTGCCCTTTACATATTCCCACAAGTTTTTAGTTGACAACAGTTTTACTATCTATTGCAGTTATGCCTGATATTTCTTTAAATTCTTTCAATTGTGTGTTTATGTTTTCAGTAATTGGTTTTCCAAAATATATGGAAATATAATATTAAGGCCAAAAATGGAGCCAGGCCAATCTGGTTGAAACTGATTTTTGTGTTCTGAGAAAGAACGTAACAAATTTACTTCCCCCCCCCCCCACTTAAGAATTTGATGGGATTAGAAGTTTTGGGGTAGGGTAATACAGGGGCTGATAATACGATGGTCAGTGTTCAAAATCAGTCTTTTTGAATTTAGGTCTCGCAGTCACAGGTGAAATTCTTCAAGGGAAATCAGACTGGTCAAAACTACTGGAGCCACCAAATTTTTTTCAAAAGTATAGGTATTTGAAATTTTGCATTTTGTGTGTGTGCGTGTTTAAAGAAGGACAATGTTAAACTTAATATATGATAGGTGACAGTTGTCACTTAAATTTCAAGCGTGGTAGAGAATCAGCAGAAATCCTAAGTGATGTGTTTCTATATTCTAGTAGTATCTAACCCAGTGTTAGTGGTTTTTGGTTTTTGTTTTTAGTGAATTGTTTTTAATTACAAGATCTAGAATTTTGTGACAATCAGAGCATGTTTTAATTTTCATAAACTGTGTGCCTGTATTAGTTCTTTTTTTCATTGGGAGGGAGAAAGAAAAAGTAATGATGAAAAGGTAGACACTTAACAATGTTTCTGGCTTTTTTCCCCTAATTATTGCTGAAAATTCTTCGTAGACATTATATAGTATTGACTGCCAGTGCTTCAACAGAAGAAAACCATCTAGAGTGGTAAGGCTTATATTTCAAGTTTTCTACCTACTGTGTGAGGATAACATGTTTATATGATGCTTTACCGTTTATAAAACACTTTCTCTAGTTTCAAAATTATTAAATCTTATTGGTGACTGTTGCACATGGCCATGGAGCATCACTGTTTAAGAAATGCCATCAAATTAATGTTTCAGAATCAGAAGTCATACAAGATAAGGGTATATGTACATGTTTGCCTTTTGTCACTTCTCAGAGTCAGATCTAAGCAGAATTTTGAGGCAGTTTAAATCATTCTGATACCTAGACTTACTGAGTTTTCCATCCTTGCCATCATGTTTTTCCCATCAAAACTAGAAGGAAAAAGACATTTTATATATTCTTTTAATTTATGAGATGGTGGCATGAAAGGTTTCAGAATTTTAAGCTTCTGTCAACAGAGAGGAGATATTTTTGGTCAAAGAGCAGTGCATTCTTTCTAGTGCACCTAAATTCATTTCCACTTCCTCTAGTGTGTTGACATCCCTAGCTCCATCACACAGAGACTATTAGGCCACCAGAGACAGTTGTGCTTTCCTCAGGTCTGACTTCTGGAAAGGAAAACAAAACAATACTTTCTTATATTTGCTTCAAGTGTTTAATGCTTATTTCATTGGTAGGTAAAGGGACCCTGAAAAGAAACCTTTCACTAAAACAAAGTATTTCATTTGTCTAAATCAGGGGTCAGGAAATTGCCATGGGGCAAATCCAGTCTGCTGCCTATTTTTATAAATAAGTGTTATTAGAACACAGCCACACTCACTGATTTATATATTGTCTATGGTTGCTTTCCTGCTACAAGGCAGAGTTGAACAGTTGCAACAGAAACAGTGTGGCCCACAAAACCTAAAATATTTATTATCTGGCCCTTTACAGAGTAAGTTTTGCCAACCTCTCATTTAGATAACACTGAGGAATATCTCAGTGTTTTGTATATCTACTGTTAAAGCACACAGTTATAATGTGTTCAGCTTTTTCAAGTGTTTAAAAAATGTAAAAATGTTCTTGTAGTTATTCTTTCTAATTCAAAATCGTTAAGTTAACATGAGAGCTGACAGTCACATTTTTTAAGTGAGGTAGAAAAGTTTCAGAAATCTGATAAACTTTATATTTTAGTAGTATTTGATCTGAGTATGGTGAATTTTTAAATGTGACACCTAGTATCAATTTTATGAAAATCAGAGCATGCTTATTTCATTAATTAAGTGCCAATTATTCGCTTTTATTGGGTCACATTATTTAAACGTATCTTATTAGGGTTTAGACATAAAATTTGAAAGTGCAAAAAGATTTAGAAACAGATTAACCAATAGTATTTGTTTATGCTCAAATCATAACTATTTTATGGTCTTAACAGGCAGACTATATTAGATCAGGTATGCATTAAATAGATAAGTTCTTTAAAAAAGAGGGGGAAATCAGAAATTTATTGACTTGTCATTTACTTGAATGGTATTTTAAAGAATCACTAATGTATTGGACTGAATTTTTTAAATGGACATGATGTAAAGCATTATAGCTAATACACGGTTTTACTTGGATGTAGCTTCCAAATTTAATATGGAAAAATCTTGTTCACTGTTTTATTTTAGGGTTGGATTAGTAGAATCTAAAATCCGTGTACTTGTTGGAAACTTGGAACGGAATGAATTTATTACTCTTGCCCATGTAAATCCCCAGTCATTTCCAGGAAATAAGGAACATCATAAAGAGTAAGTTAATTATTTTTTAACATTATATTTCTTTTTTTTTTTTTTAGATTTATTGGGGAATTGGGGGAGGGGAACAGCCAAGTGATTGTCCTTCAGTCTTAGTTGTGGAGGGCACAAGAAGTTCAGCTCCAAGTCCAGATGTGCCTCTCAGCTCCAGGTGCTGTGTTCAATTAGTTGCAAGTGGGCGTGGCCACCATCCCATGCAGGAGTCAAACCAGCAGCCTCTTTGTTAAGAGTGCACGCTCTATCCCGAGCCATCCGGGCAGTAGCTCAGCTCAAGGTGCTGAGTTCAGTCTTTAATTGCAAGTGGGCATAACCCACCATGAACAGGCAACCTTGTTTTTAGGAGCACGTGCACTCACCAGCTGAGCCATTTTGCCACCTATTGGCAGCTCAGCAGCAGCTCAGCTCGGGTGCAGCTCACTGCCCATGTGGGAATCGAACCAGTGACCCTTTTGCTCAGAGCTCGCACTCTGGAGCCAGCCCCTAACATTATATTTCTTAAATAATGTTATTTGACAAATGACATTGTTGAAAATCAGTTGCAACATTGTCATTTAACAGGTATTGATGGGGGGGGGGTACATTATGTATTTGAGCTTGAGTAGTCACACATTAAAACTAAGTACTTGTTATGTTGGTAGCCCACGGACCCCAGAAAAAATATTTGGAGCGTCTTTAAGTTTATATTTAGTAAGTCATTTTCAAAGCCATTTAATCCTCTTAATAACAACACAGTATAACCTACCAATGTTCTTGGTGTCAGTTTTAAAATTTGACCAAACCATTGAAATTTTGTATTTATGCTTCCCTAGAGACCAAGTTTTAATTACCAAATAACGTGTAAAATTGTTAAAAATTAATAGAAATTCTTAAATTTTATTTTATAGCAACAATTACATATCAATGTGGTTCCTTGGAATAATTTTTCGGAGAGTAGAAAATGCAGAAAGTGTTAACATAGACTTGACGTATGATATACAGTCATTTACTGACACAGGTAAGACTTTGTCCTCATAGAGCTATAGTTCTCAACCTTAGATGTGATGCAGTATCATCAAATTCTACAATTGATTAAATGAGTATGGTACATCCATTTTATAAAAATCCATGCTGCTATTTAAAAAGCAAAGGCATGATGAAACCATTTCCATGACATGTAGAGGGAAAAATTGCAAAACAGCATGTATAGTGCGCTACCATTTTTATAAGTAAGTAAAGAAAGAATATATGCATGTTTGCTTATAAATAGAATATTTCTGGAACAATATGTAGTTTTTAAAAAAGAAACTGGCAGTACTGGTTGCTTCTAAGTCAAGAAACCAGGTGTGTCTAGGGGACAGGGGTGAAGAGACTTGACTGAATGCTCTTGAACTCTGAGTTTGGTACCATGTGAATGTATTATGTGTTTTAAAACAAAAAGCAGGAAAACTAAAGAAACTCTGTAGGTGATTGCTAGTGTGCACAGCCAGAGTTTGTAATCACAGTCATAAAGATGAGTTGATTTTTATGTTTTTTTACATGAAATAACTATTAGCAAACACGGGCTTGCTGAATGTTTCAGAATCAGTAAAAAGAGCATCTTTCACATTTAGCTCCCTAAAAATACCTCTCTGGAATATCTTAATATGCTTGTATACCCATTATAAATTTGGAGTTATCTTAATAATCTGGAATATTGTACATTCATACTATTAATATTCTGAGTTCTCTGAATTCTTTAGAACTAGCGCTCATGTTTATCATGAAAGTGCAGATCCCTGCGCATCACCTTAGAACTACTGAATCCTTCTGGGAGTGGAGCCAGAGAATCTGCAAGTTGAACAAGCACTCCTGGTGAATCTTTTATAAGCAATCTGAAATGAAAACATAGATACCAATATTTCCATTCTAATTTGGGTTCCTTTTTCAAAAAGGAGGAGGTTGCAAAACTATTTATTATAAATTTATAAAAATACTGCAGATAAATGCAGAGGACCCCAAGAGATAATTCACCGTATTTCACAATACTTACTGTGTAAAAGAAACCCCCCAACCCTGTCTTTAGTAAGCTTATAATAATTGGGTGTTTACAGTTAACATACATTAAATAATTTATGTGGTAGTTAATAAAACTGATTTTCTTACAAGGTATGTGGGAAGTACTAGGATGGGAATCTGGGGCTGTGTGTATTCCGATCCCAGAAAAGATGTTCAGAGTGGTGAGCCTAACTTCCCCACCCGTAAAATAAGGATGTATTTCTAGAAGGTTTCTGACAGCTGACATTCAATGATTGGTGTAGGAAAAGAAACTTCGTGGAGAGGGAGAGCTTGAATTGCATCTTGGCTATTTGATATAAGGATTAGCTTAGACTTGGACAAGTAATTATGAGAAGAGACTGCCTTTGGGGAAAACAGCAGAAAACAAGATTTGGAAAAAAACCTTTTTTTCATACATTTATTTTGTTAATGAAATTTAATTATGGGAAATTCTTAGAAGTTGGACATGAGAAAACTAGTTGATACTCAAATAGGATTGTGACCTGGTGAAAATGTTTTAGAAATACCTATTTTGTAAGAGGGATGTGTGTTTGTGTAGTGATGGGGCGTACGCATTTTGAAAAAGAAAACAGAACCCTTGGTTCAGGAAAAAGTTTCCATTTAACATATTGACATTTTTTACAGTGTACAGACAGGCAAACAATATAAACATGCTAAAGGAGGGAATGAAAATTGAAGCAACTCATGTTAAAAAAAAACAACTTCATCACTATCTTCCAGCCGAGATTCTTCAAAAGAAGAAAAAAGTGAGTTTGTATCTTAACTCTTCAATAGGGCTCCTGGGAACAAATTTGTGTTCTTACAGCTCCCAAACATTGAGAAGAGGGGCAGTACAGACAATTCAATCTGGGAACAAAATCTCACCTTCATTAATTACAAAAGATAATTTGTTTTATGTGTACTTCAGAATTGAAAACAGTCATTATTCTCATTTGCCTTTTGAAATCCTAAAAGTTTTCCTCTCTTTCAGCAAAGTCTTTCTGATGTCAGTCGAAGTTCAAGTGAACCTCAATCCAAAAGATCATCTCTGGATAGCAATTTTTTGGATAGCTCCAGAGACACTGATAATGGAACACCTTTTAACTCCCCAGTGTCTACAAACAAGCCTTCCAAGCCTGATATTCCATCTTCAGAAGAAACAGAAAGGTCTGTGTTTCAAAATTGTCTTTTCAGTCTTCAGTGTATTTGAGGGTAATGTAAACTCTTCTCTACCTTTGCTAAATACCTTTTTAAAATTGTTAAATAATTTTATTTTACTAGTTGATAGTTTCTTTAGAAATACTGGACAATTTGTGATAATCCTGTGGGACATGGTCTGGATTTATGAATATGTGGGAATAGATTAATACATGGAAATGGACATAATTTCTTTTGTTTGTTTTTATTATTTCTGTTTAATTTTTTTCTCTTAATTCTTACTGGGTCCTCTGCCTTTTTCTCCCCTTTTCTCTTCCTTCAATGAAATATTAAAGTAGGAATACTTGAAAGAAGTAATCCTAAATGTTAAAAGTTTTAAATAAGTAATAGTTAAATAATTTAATGATGATAATTTAACACTTTTAATAGGGTTAATGCTGAGCCTGCCTCTGTAACTGTGGAAAAGCCACTGACTGTCCCGCCAGCTCAAGGACTATCTATTCCAGTCATTGGTGCAAGTAGGTATCTACACTTTTGTTACTAATGATTGTGTGTGTGTGTGTGTGTGTGTATGTGTATTTAATTACTAAAATATTTATTTTTTTCTTCTCAGAAGTTGAGCCTGTAGTAAAAGCTGTATCACCCTCAGCTGTGTGCACCATTCCTACTGTAGTAGGACGAAATGTTATTCCTAGGATCACAACACCCCACAACCCGGCCCAGGGACAACCACATCTAAATGGAATATCAAACATAACTAAGAATGTTATGCCCAAGAGATCCCATTCCCCGTCCTTAGATGGATCTTCAAAGAGGTTGAAAGACATAGAAAAGGTAAAGTTACAACTTTAGTGGTGATTCAGTAGTAGATTTTTGTTAAAAAGAGTACTAAAGAAACAATTTTCAGTAGCTGTCTTAGTGTTCTTTTAGGATTTGACTCTTTAAAAAGAATATTTACTCTAACCCTAAAAGAACAATATTAATTGTTCAACCTAAATTCAGATTGTTAATGTATCTGAAAACTTGAATAATTGGCCTTGACTTACACGGAAATCATTATTGGTAACTAAATAATCATATTTATTGTGTTCTAATGTTGATCTCCTCTGCCTCCAGTAGGGGGTGGTAAAACTATTTTATTTGTTATAAACTGAATTGATTTAACCAAAAAGATCAAACTAGAAATTAAGGATGGCAGTTGAATTCAATCTAATTTAAATTCTCTTCTTTAATCAACCCATGTTTGTAAGTAGTTTTGATGATAGTATAATCACTAATTAGTTTTTCAGTTTATATAGATTTTTTTGGTTTTTTGTAGGTAATAATAGCAATCATTTTAATGTTTATATTTTAGTTTATTCGACTTGAATCAAAGTTTAAGGAATCGCGTGCTGCTGAAAACAGAAAAAGAAAATCAGTGGTAAATATATTAATAGTGTGCTTCAAAATACTTACTTTTTAGAATCGTGTATCAGGAAAGTACTGTAATAAGTGGATCAGATTAGATCTATCAAGTTTTTGGTATGTTTTATTTTATGTAGAAATGAGCATTTGCACATAGGAGAGAAAGTTGTCACTTGTAAATAATTCTTCTGTTTTTAGGATGCCATTGGAGGAGAATGTATGCCTATTCCAACTATTGATACATCACGGAAAAAGGTAACACTATATTCATAGAATATGCATAGGTTAAAATGTGTAGTTAACGGACAGGTACAAAAAGCTTATTTAGTCAACTATAAGTGAAAATATATGTGTGTGTATATATATAGTCATGGGACGTGGAGTATAGTGTGGGAGTGGAGTCAAGGAAATTGTAATAGGTATGTATGATATTGGGGGGGTAAGTGGGATGGCGGATTGGGAGAGGGGGCGTTGTCACCCTTAGGGGTAAAAAGTGTAACTATTGCACTGTGTTGTACAGCTGAAACTAATTCTAGAAAAGTGTATTTCACAATAAAAAATAATTTAAAAAAAAAAAAGCTTATTTAGAGCCTAGCACTGGGTGAAGAAAAAGGATAATAAGATTTTGTCCCTATCCTGAAAGTCAGTCTACCAGGATAGTTGGGAGTTGGAGGTGGAAATAGCAAACAAAGTGTGATCTCTAACTGTGTGTACCTCAAAAGTCTATTAAAGATGAAGTAGTTTAAGACGTCACAATTTATTTAGGTTATTTTCAACCTTTGTCTTTTATTTATCTTTAAAGAAGTAGCTTAGTGCTCAGCACAGTAATTTCCTACCAATACTTGATAGTATATCTTTTATTGTGTACCACTGTTTACTGTCCAAATTTAAGCTATATAGTTAGGAACCATACTTATTAATATTTTGAAACAACCAAATGTACCAGTGTACATGCTAAGTACCTTTAAAACTAAAGAGCCCCTAATTAAAAGAGCTCTCCATTTAAAAATTTATTTTTCAAAGAATTACCATTGAAACTAATAGTATTACTAAGCATGGTAAGTTGATAAACGGTTACTCAAAAATCAGCCTTGTGTGAATCAGAGAAAGCCCTTCTCTGAGAGTTTATAGTGAACAAAGAACAAAATGGTTTATTTTCACCCCCCCATTAAAGAATAAAGTCTCATCACAATCAACTGTCATCCTGCCAGGTTCCCAGTATATATTAGCCATTCTAAGGCAAAATAGAAAGTGTCCTCATACTTTCTACTAGTTGTAGAATTTGTAAAATTTCTTTTAACATAGGAGTGGGCTATAAAAAACATATGTGTATAATTATATTATGTGCAGTAATGATAGAAAAAACTTGGAAGTAGATATTGAAGTATGAAAGCATGAAATGACATGTCTGGGTTTTGTTTTAAAATATTTCAAGTATAAAGGATAAGGGCATAAACCAAACAAATGTGGCAAAATGTTGATAATGTCTGAGTTTTGGTTGTGACATCTTAAGTCTTCATTGTCCTATTGTCTATTTTTATATATGTCTGAAATTTTTGGTGGATGTACATATGATATAGATATTTGTTTAGCCAAGATAACATGAGAGGAGAATTAACTCTTGAGTCATCTCTTGACAAGAGCTAACATACTGTTCCTGTCACGCAACTGTCTGTATTTTTCTTTTTTGCTATTTTAATTTTATTTTCATTAATTAATATTTTTGCATTTTTAATTAAATTTATTGGGGTGACAATGGTTAGTAAAATATATAGGTTTCAAGTGTACATTTCTGTAATACATCATCTATACATAACATTGTGTGTTCACCACCCAGAATCAGTTCTCCTTCCATCACTATTTAGTTGACCCCCTTTATCCTCTTCTACCCCCTCCCTCTCCTCTTACCCTCTGGTGACCACTAAACTGCTGTCTATGTCTGCGAGTTTTTTTGTTTTGTTTTGTTTGTTTTTTAAAGAAATTTTATTGGGGAGCAGTGTGTTTTTCCAGAACTCATCAGCTCCAAGTCAAGTGGTTGTATTCAATCCAGTTGTGGAGGGCGCAGCTCCTTGGCCCATGTGGGAATCGAACCGGCAACCCTGGTGCTATGAGCCCACCTCTGGCCACCTGAGCTAACCAGCTGCCCCTGCGAGTTTTTGTTTGTTTGTCTTGTTCCTTTGTTGCTTTCAGTTTTATATCTCATATATGAGTGAAATCATATGGTTCTTGACTTTTTCAGAATTATTTCGCTTAGCATAATAATCTCAAGATCCATCCATGTTGTTGCAAATGGCAGTATTTCATCTTTCCTTATGGGGGAGTCGTATTCCATTGTGTATATATACTACATCTTTATCCAGTCATTTATCAAAGGATACTTTGGTTGTTTCCATGTCTTGGCCACTGTAAATAATGTTGCAATTACATCAGAGCACATATATCTTTATAGATAAATGCTTTCAGACTTTTTGGGTAGATATCCAGGAGAGGGATTACTGGGTCATGTGGTAATTCTATTCTTTTTTTTTTTTTTTTTTTAAGATTTTATTGGGGAATTGGAGAAGGGGAACAGCCAAGTTGTCCTTCAGTCCTAGTTGTGGAGGGCACAGCTAGCTCATCTCCAAGTTCAGTTGCCACCATCCGACTGCCTGTCGGCAGCTTACAGGGGTCCAGCCGGCAACCTTGAGTTTAGGAGCACGTGCTCTCACCAGCTGAGCTATCCTGCCTCCTGTTGGCAGCTCAGCTCAGGTGCAGCTCACTGGCCCATGTGGGAATCGAACCAGTGAACCTGTTGCTCAGAGCTCACGCTCTTAACCAACTGAGTCACTCAGCCGGCCCCTATTAATTTTTTAAGGAACCTCCATAATGTTTTTCATAGTGACTGTACCAATTTACATTCCAATCAACAGTGTATGTGGGTTCCTTTTTCTCCACAGCCTCTCCAACACTTGTTATTATTTGTCTTGTTGATGACAGCCATTTTAACAGATGTGAGGTTATATCTCATTGTGGTTTTGATTTGCATTTCCCCAATAGCTAGTGAAATTGAGCATTTTTTCATAGATCTGTTGGCTGTTTGTATGCCTTCTTGTGAGAAGTGTCTGTTTTGGTCCTCTGCCCATTTTTTAATTGGATTGTTTGTTTTTGTTGTTGACTTGTATGAGTTCTTTATATATTTTGAAGATTAACCTCTTATCAGAGGCGTTGTTTGCAAATATCTTCTCCCATTCAGTTGACAACTGTCTGTATTTTAGGTGTCTGTTTTGTTTCTCACTTTCTTAGACTTTGCCTTCATTATTTAATAATCTTTAGTGTCCTCAAAAGACCTCATATAGGGCCGGCTGAGTGGCTCAGTTGGTTAAGAGCTCGCTCAAGAGTTTGAGCTCTGAGCAACAGCGGTTCAATTCCCGGCCTGAGCTGAGCAGCCGCTGAGCTACCAACAGGTAGCAGGATGGCTCAGCTTAATAAATAAATAAATAAATAAATAAACAAATAATAAATAAATAAGTAAAATTTTTTTTAAAAAGCCCTCATATAGAAATCCTTGAATTTCACCATCACTGAAGTTACCTAGCCTGACTACAAAGTCAGTTTTCCTGAAAACTTATCTCACAGTGGTGTTTTTCATGAATGTATTACAGAATCAAATTGAAGAATGTAACTTCATATCAAATTTTCCTCTGTAACACACACTCATTTCTCACCTTGTACCCCAAGAGTTTCTTGTTCTGTGACCGGGCTCTGCCTATTTCTCTTGCCTGACTCAAGAACTGTATTCTTTATGCATTTCTCAGTCCAGAAGTGGTGATCGATTTAACAAAGTCCTCTTTCCTATACTCACACCCTTTTCTTATCTCTCTGCTTTTCACCTGACTGTAAAAAAAAAAAAAAAAAAAAAAAATTCCCCAAAACAACAAATGCCTATGAACATTGGGAGAAAATATTCAACACATACTTGAGTGTTTAGGAACTTAAGGGATTTGAAGAAAAACTCAGATTTATGACTGATTTGCTAGTTGAGCCTTATATTCACTTTTCCTTTGTTTCTATTTCTTTCTAATAGAGACTGCCCAGTAAAGAACTACCAGATTCATCATCTCCAGTTCCAGCAAATAACATCCGTGTCATCAAAAATTCTATTCGACTGACCCTTAATCGGTAAAAGCAGTGCCTCCTACTTAAGTGAATATGCAATCATTTAGTGACACACATACAGCCACTTTTTTAAAAACAGAAGTGGCTGTCATACATAAAATAAGGTGAAAGTTACAGTCATCGGCTTAACAACCTTGAAGTGGTTTTTGAACTTTCACACTTTGACCTGCAGATGCTGTAGCATTCTCTCATTGATTGCTACATACACTTCTCTGAGGATCACCTGCTATCAACTTGTCATCTATAATATTATGGCTTTGTGTTGAAGGTTTTATTGCCTTAACTTTTGATGTTTGTTTCTCTATTATGGGAACCAGTTCTTGACTCTTTGGACACAGATAGAACAAGTCCTGAACTTTTCTTTTTTTTGTCTTATGTTGTAATAATCATTGTATAGAACTTAAAAAGTTGAAAACAAAAAAATTGTCTTGTAATTTTCCAAATGTTAACACATTTACTTTAGCATTGAAGCCACTTTGTGAAACCTGAGATTAATGAATGTGAGGTATCTTTTCTGATTTCCTCATTTGTGTAGATGTACCTATTGTCTGTTCTATTAAGTTATTTTTTTCCAGAATGGCACATGGAATATTTAAATTTTTATTTTTTTGTGCCTTTCTGTCCAAATGTTACATAGTTACCAGAGAGGATTAGTCCAGTGATTGCATAAGAGTTGGGCACCATAAATTCTCTATATTTTGCCTCCCATGGAGGCCTTTGAAATGCATCTTTATTAAGAATCAAAATAAAACCAGGATACTGAAAGTCAGTATATGAATGGTGAAATTATTACATATTCTATCTCATGCCATTCTTGTTAGTTGACTGGTATTTTTTACTGAGGAGCATCTCATTCCAGCATCAAAATAAGATACCTTTAAGTATGGCAAACTTGTATTTTTGAGGTGTAAAATTAAATTGGCATGATAATTCCTGACCGTTACTTACCCCACAACTTGAAACATTTTCTTCACGAATTAGGCATGCAGAAATCAGCAGTGGGTTTCATTGAAACCTAAAGGCATTTTTGAATGACTTTGTTACCAACCATTAATTGGCTCAGGACCTTTGTAATTTTTATTTAACTATATGAGTTGTCTTTTTTTACACTGCTTTTTTCAATGCATTTCTTAATATTTTTTAAGTTTCATGAATGCATGCTCAGTTTATTAAAATCCATAACCATGTAATTCTTGTAATATGTTAATTCAGTGTTTTGTAAATGAAGTCGTATGTATTTTCAGAGTATTTTTGTATGTACTGTAAGATACCATCTTTTCAAAGAGAAAACTTTAAAACCTTTATTGTCTGTCTTTAATCTAATTTTTTAAAATATGGATTATGCTTGAATTATTCTTAAAATGAAAATGTATAGATTGCACAGCGAAGAATGCTGGTATATGTTACCTTCTTCAGCTTTCACTCAGCATTTAGTAGGTCCAGTAGGAAAAACACAAAATGGTCAATTTGAATAATGCAGGGAAAATATTTGGTTGTGTATTTTACAAGATTCATGGGACACTTTCTAGCCAGTGGAGTAATAGCAGTCCATTTTCTCTTGTCAGCCCTTTACCATTGATTTGAAATACTTGAATTCTGATTGTCAGAGAGCAGTATTATTCTCCTCCTACTCCTGTTCTATGACCCCTAAGTCTCTGAAGTGAAAATTCTAATGTTTAACTTGTACAAAGGAAAACTTCTCAGAAGTAAAGAAGAGCAAGGAAAGGGTAATGGTTCCATTATTCACTTTTTACACAGCAAAAGACAAGAAAGAAATTCCACAACCAAGTTTTAGCTTCCTTGGCAAAGCTGTTCTCTTAGCTGACCCTTTTCCTTTATTCAGATATTTTGAGATTTGTTCTACAAATACTCTATTTGAGCAAAAGAGAATGATTATGAAAAGACTGAAGAACTATCACCTGACTTCAACTTTTGAAAAATTCTTTAGTAAGGGATTTTATTAAATGTCATGTATGTGATGTGTTTGCATTTTCGTATTTAATATCTAGGTATTATCCCCATCTATTATCAGTTTTCAAAGTTTCTTTAAGAATCCCCTCTATATCCATGTTTACCCTATTATATAAACAGAGTGTTTGGAATGACTAGAGGAGTTTATCTTTAATAAGAAAACAAGAAGCCTAACCCTTGTACTATAGTGTAGTCATTTCTCTTGTTTTAAGGGTCCATTCAACATGGGTTTAAGACATAGCCAGTGGTTCAAGTTAGACTCCTCAAAGATAGCATTCTTCAGCCTGTTTGGTAACTGGGGAGTTGATGAGATGCTTTTGAGATTGTGAGTTTGGTCAGAAATGAAGTTTCCTATCCTGAACAGTAGGTGGAATGTTCAGTACATTTTGTTACTATTGTAAGAGACGCCCACTGTACTGGTTCCGAGTAAGTAATGGGAAAGTATGGTCTGGGGTTGTATGTTATGTTTAGAGGCACTAAGTAGACATGTTTGATTTCAGGTGTGAAACTATACCTAGACATATATTTTTATAAAGTCAGAGAACCTATTCTTCATTATGTAGACACATGTTCATTTTCACAAGGGTATTAGATTTTAATCTCATTTTTCAGTGACTGGCTCTGATAAATAGTATATATCAAAGGAAAACAGTTAACTGCTAGTTTAACCTTAGGGACAATTTAAGAGACTGGGAACACTGCTAAAAACCTCGTAAAACTGGGACAGGAGAATGAATTTTAAAAGACTGTTGGTGCTTATGATAATAACTCTGTCTTAAGGCAACAGTTGAGTGACATTAAGATGCTTACTGTAGAAGCAATGAAGTAAAGATGGGCAATGTTGAAATGGGCTAACCTTACTTTCCACTGTGTCCCACAGCTTTGAAATTGGAATTCCTAATTGGATATCATAGATCATAGGGAATTCTTTCAAATGTATATAAGAAGTTTTTGTTTATGTGCATTTTACTTGGGGGGAAGTTCATAGATTTCATGACTTTCTCAAAGTGGTTCATGACTAAAAAGGGTGTGGGGAGGCAGGAACCACAGCTTTCCAAAATTGAATAATCCCGGACTCTTGGGAATTTTTTCCATAAGAATTTCCTGGAGTTTATTTCTGCAAATGCACTGCGGCTCTTAACTAGTAAAGTAGCTAATGGAGGCCGCTGGAACACCAAATAAGTTTCTTTATATATTTCAGATGAAACTTCATCAGTATTTAGAAAAATGCCTATTCTTGGATTTATAAATGTTCTCATGTTAATTTAGATTCATCAACAGGGTCAAACTTTAGTTCAACAAATTTCAACCTAAGATTGATCAGAATAGAATAACTTAGAATGACCATTAGAAATGGTAAAAGTAGAATTAATCATTACATATCCTGATCCTTTGATTTCAGCAGCATTGAAGTTCTCTTGTTCCTCCACGTTTGTGGTTCAGACTGAACAGACTAATAAATAAAACTTCGGTTTAAAAAATATTTTTTATAAATAAAATTGTGTGTGTGCTTAAATAACTACCTATTAAGTCTTCCAAAGCTTAGAATTTAGCTCATCATGATAGTGATAAATAAAATAGTGCAGATGATGGAAGAATACCAGTTTCAATTGCGGTAGCTATGTATTTCCTTAGGATTTTTTAAAAGAATTGTACAAGGTCAGATCCTTTCCAAATTCCCTATTTTTTCTGAAATTTTTCTGATATAATTTTATATTTAAAGTTAGTTGAACATAAGATTATCAGACTTGATATAATTTTTAAGCTATTGCTACATTTTAGCAAAGACCCACATAATTACCTTATAAAGTACTTAGGATATCTTTGAAGTAAATGGTGCTACATCACTCCACAGTGTTATGTAAAATGAATGCAGCTGCTTTTTCTTTCTAGATAGCTGTTTGTGTAGTTCATATTTTTTCCTGCCTTTTATTTGGATTGTCTTTTATTTCTTAGTTGTACACATGAGCCTCATTATTTGTCTGGACTAAGTAATGAAATAAACTTGCTTTGATAAATAGGTGTTGATGATTGATGTTATTTGGGAATAGCTGAAATGTACCAGACGTCTTTAGTTACCTATTTTTCAAACTGACAGCCAGTTTGGTCATTTACCACTCAGACTGTTTTTTGGCATGTGATGGTATCCACTACCTGCTTAATACGAAAGCGAAACTCAGTTTGCCTCACAAGAATGACATATTAAACATTAGCAAGCAGTAGCACAATCTGTTTCAAATATTCAGCGCAAAATTCTGTCACCCATGGTCAACATCAGGTGACCAGAGTCCTCTACTAATGGCTAGTCAGAGGTCCGTTTAGCAGTCATGCTTTTGGTGCTGTCTACAGAAAGCTTGTTCCATTCTTGTTAATGAACAGTGACTTTTCAGCCAGTCCACATATTTTGAATACTATTGGGTTGTCGGAAAAGTCATGACGTATTTTTTGTTTTTCATTGCAAAAATGCAACATGACTTTTCTGACAACCCAATAGTATTGAATTCATCAATAAGAGTCTGTGTCTACATTATTAAGGTTATTAGCCAGCCACTCATGGCACCAGTGAGACATTTGACATGTATTAAGCTAATTAGCAAAGCCGCCTATATTGATTGAGCTGTGGATAAAAGAAGGGCCCTTGGGCCGGCCGAGTGGCGCGATGGTTAAGAACTGGCCTGGGACGCCAGAGGGCCCCGGTTCGGATCCCACATATGAGGGCCAGTGACACTGCCCTACACACCTAAGATGCTGAACAACAGCTCAGCCTGGAGCTGGGCTGCCGTGAGTCGCCGGTGACGGCGTAGGCTGCAGCCCCTG